CCCCCCCCCCCCCAAACGCCAGACAATTTCCTATATAAACAAGTCTATAGTAAATCCAATATATAAAGTGGGCACATTTCATGCAAGGGGGTAGTACAATCCACGTAGCCCCTGCTCCAGAGTGCCGCAGCCCGCAGCCGCGGTACCGTCCGTAGCAGAGGAGCGAGGGAGAGCGAGAGCTTGGGGAGAGTGGTCACGATGAGCACAGTCTCCGTGGGGATTCCTATCAACAACCCCCTTCGACAAGACGGCTTGGCTCAACCGCGTCTGCCGAGAGCGAGCGGATGGCATGGAGTTTGTTTGCTGCTGCGGACACAACTTCGGCGACGGTTCAGGAGTCGACGAGGGCACCGCCTTGCAGCATGAGGCTTCGCACAAGCACGAAGAGTGAGTGTAGAGGAATGGGAATCATTTTGTGAGATTGCCTTGGTTGCATTATAGTATAATCTACCTCGCAGCAGCAGCAGCAGCAGCAGCAGCAATAGCAAGAACAGCACACACAACAACCCACACCAAGGTTGGACGCAACCAAGAGTGCGTGAATGCGGAGCCCTCGCGATGCAACTGCCGTCGTGTTGTACACACCAAACGTGGTTGTACTGCTGCCCGTGTAGCTGGCAGCGGCAGCTGCGTGTGTGTTGTGCTGCTTCCCATGTAACTGGAAGCAGCAGTAGAAGGAGCCTCAACAGCAGAGGCAGAAGCCGCAGCGGTAGCTGAGCAGCATGACAACTTGTGACAACGTTTGAGAAAAAAATGCGCGAAATGCAGACCGGCACCACCCACAAGGCTGTGTGCCACGGGGATATTCGTGCCTCTGCAGAAGAACTGGCCTTTACATTTTGGTGTCCCCTGCCCTTGCCTGCCACTTTCCGCACGCCCATCGCATGCGGGCAGATCGCGTTCGCCTGTTGCGAAAATCGCCCAGAAGAATAGCAGTGGCCACTGGGGTTGCACCTCGTGCCAGCACTATTTCGGCTCCGGTGAAGGGCTGACCCAGCTTCATGTGAACCAGCACGAGAGGTCGACCGCACACATGTAAGGGCGATGGCCGTCGGTGTCCGCAGTTGCATTCTCGAGTAATTTGGACTGCTCACTTGTGCTTACCAACATTTCAAGACCTCGCAAGACCCGTTACTTTGTCTATCCTCGCCGCACGCATGTCGCGCAAAGTATCAATGCGTGCATGCAGCTTTGTCAATGTGTGCGAATGCGTCGCCTACTACGCAACTTGGCACAGTATGTACAGTAGAACGATTAGATCATTATTCCGTCTCTCAACGGCGGATCAATCAATATTTATTCACATCCGCAGGCGTGGTGCTGAAGCTAAGCGTCAGAGGAATACAATGCTGAGGTTTTAAACCGACGAGCACTACGGGCGGCGGGAAGGGGCCGAGGGACGTGATGGATAGCAGCGGTGGCGCAAGCAGTGATGTTGAGGTGGTTACGACGGGAGTTGCAGGCGGGCGTGAGGGCGGAGCAGGCGCGGGTAGCGACGCTGAGGTGATTGCGACGGGAGTTGCAGGCGGGGGTGGAGGCGGAGCGGGCGCAAGCAGTGACGTTGAGGTGCTCTCGACGGGAATTGCAGGCGGGCGTGAGGGCGGAACGGGCACGGGTAGCGACGGTGAGGTGGTTGCGACGGGAGTTGTGAACGGGCGTGAGGGTTGTGAGGGCGCGAGCAGCGAAATGGATGGAGCTTTCTCCGACGCTGCACACGAGAGTGGTTCGACCGATATGGTGCGCGTCCAAAACCCCCTCCGCTGCGCGGGATTACGTCCGAATGTTCGGGAGCGTCTTCTCCAACACTACCCAGCAGCTTTGCATACTGTCGTCAAAAAGGGGCTGTCGTGGGAGGCTCGGATAGACCCGAATGGCGTGGCTCTTTACGCCGTGGAATCCGTCTCCCGCGGCATCCTGAGCCCAGGTTGTGCTGGAGCAGTGGAAGAACCAGGAGGCACATGCGAGCCGTGTGTGGACATCAAGGGCAGTAAGGTTTACAGAGGTGAGACCACGTAGCGAATAAAACGCGAAATAGGAAGGCACAACTAGGAAGGCAAGACAATTTAACTGTCGCACCCTCATTCCACCACACATGAACTTTTTTTTAATTGGATTGTTCCCTCTGCACCCTTTCCGTCTTGGAGCAGATGTGGTTCAACGATCATCGTTGGAGCCAGAAGACTCAAGGTTGAAGCACTTTGCTCTAGATTTGTTGACTCCTCACCAGCAACGAGGCAGGCTGACGCGGTGGAAGAAGAAGTTCGAAGTGCAGAAACTGTACACTTTGAACCAACTCAGGAAGTGCGCGGCTTTGCATGGTCGTGTTGCACTCGCGAAGAGTATCTTCATTTACATGGCAGACAATGACGTGAATGACATTCGAAGGTTGATGGCTCAAGCGCGGCGAGACGGCTTGTCGCTGAGTGGTATCATGCATAGGTTAGAGCAGGCGGTGAATGGCAAGTATAGTGCCAAAGGGTTCAGCGAGGATGAGTTTGACTTGGCAATACTGGAGGGGCTTCGGGGAGTGAATATTAAGTACCATCATCCAAGACAAATTGCTTTTAGTTGTGGATGGGTGTTGCACGTGGCGAAGGTGATTCCACCGCCGTAGGCTCATCGACAGCCCCTCTTCGGTATGTTGCCGGCTTGAGTAAGCTTGGAATAATGACGTTTCGACGCATGGGTATGTGTCATTTGGTTGTGTCCTTTCGCCACATTCGACCGAGGTCAAATGTCGTGGACTTGTCGCAGAGGCTTGGAGAAGTTCAAAGCTACTTGTAGCTGAGGGGTTGTCCTCAAGCACTACTGCTGTACTTCAAGACTTGAAAACCAAATAAGAAGTGTCCCCAGCCCATCACAGCTTATTTCAGTACATGAAGTAGCAATCTACACCTTCCTAGTAACAAGGTCCTGCTTGCACGTCATGCCGTAAACACCACCACACGCAAGCACACGCAATGGAGAAGGAGAAAGCCAAAAGAAAGCCTGTACGAAAATATTCAAAAAAAAAAAACTTTTTTCACCCCCCTCCCGGGGGGGGGGGGGGGGGGTAGGGTTAGGTGTCGGAAAAAAAAAAAATTGTGCGCCCTTGGCGCTTTCCGTACAAAACTTTCGTGGACGCCAACTACATACACGGGATTCATCCTGAAAGTTCATGGGAATTTTTTCATTGCATCTAAACAGTGTCTCACCGCTTAGCTGGTTCCCTTGGAGGTACAGACTTCGAAGCGCTGCGAGCTTTCCCAGCGCCGGCGGAATGGGACCTGTAAGTGGAAGAAATAAAACGGAGTGATGGTTGCGGGTCAAAACAAAAATAATGCCCCGGCTTCTGGACCAGTGAGTGGACGCCAACGCATACCCGGGATTCATCTTGAAAATTCATGGGAATTTTTTTTCAACACATCTAAACAGTGTCTCACCGCTTAGCTGGTTCCCGTAGAGGTGCAGATCTTGAAGCGCTGCGAGCTTTCCCAGCGCCGGCGGAATGGGACCTGTAAGTGGAAGAAGGAAGACGGAGTGATGGTTGCGGGTCAAAACGAAAACAATGCCCCGGCTTCTGGACCAGTGAGTGGATGCCAACTGCGTTCGTTGGCAGGACCGTTTTTCTAGACGCCGGGGGATTAATTTTGTTTTCTCCCGCCAACTTCTTGTTTTCCCTTCGTCTGGCCGGCAACATCCCGCCAGAGCTAGGAAATGTCCGACAGCTGCAGAGGCTGTGGCTCAGCCACAACCACCTCACACGTACCTATTGATGGTCGGTTTTAATTTTTTAATCCATGAATGAATCTCGCCGATGCATCGGCGAGATTCATACACGAGACTCACGCAAAATCGGTCGGGAAAGGGCTATCAAATCACGTGTTGACTCACCGCTCAGCTCGTTGTTCGTAAGGTAGAGCGCCTTGAGTGCTGAAAGGTGCCCAAGCTCGGATGGGATGGGACCTGCAAGCGGATGGACGGAACGAGTAACTGAGCGGGACAAACAAAAATAACCCCCCGCTTTCTAGAACATCGGTCCCGCCTACGCATACACGGGATTCATCCATGGAACCCGGTTTCATTTCTAAAAACTCGTGGTACCTGTAAGGTTGTTGCAGTAGAGCAGTTGGTGACACGGGACAAAAAACAACAATCCCCCGGCTTCTAGACCACCTACTCGCCTACTGCATCGAACATCGCCGATGCGTGAATGGACACATAAATATGTTCGAGAAAAAAAAGTATCAAATTTCATCAGTCTCTCACCACTGAGCTGGTTGAAATACAGGTCAAGCACCGTGAGCTTATTTAGAGCGCCGAGCTGCGCCGGAATCGCACCTGCAGAAGAGTAACACATTAGCGGGGGATATAGAAATAAATCACCCGGCTCTCTTTATTCGGGATATTCGATCTCCGTAGATCTTGTCCCACCCACTAGTTGGCGGGACAAGATCTACGGAGATCAGTCGTCTTCAAAATAGATAAGCGGGTGGTTTTTGTATTTCCCCCGCAAACATGTAATACTCTTCTACAGGTGCGATCCCGACGCAGCTCGGCGCTCTCACTAAGCTCACGTGGCTCGACCTGTCCAACAACGAGTTAGATGGTGAGTCCCGGAGACCCAACGCGAAATACTACTTCGACTCGCAAGAATGATAGGCATGAATCTCGCCGATGCATAGGCGAGTAGGCAGTCACGTTCTCGGGCTCGGCGTTTCTATTAGGCGGGAGAAATATTGTGTTGTTCCTCGTTAGGGCCGTAATTACTTCCTCATTCGCTATAGCACTGCAGCAATAATCCCTTTCGCAAAACCAGCTAATTGGTTCGTCTATTGTTTCCCCCCGATCAAGGTCAGGATGAATCCCGCCGATGCCGGCTTCCCGAAGGGACATACATACGCATAGATGTCTCAAATTTTCCCAGCTGCGGCGGGATGGGGCCTGCAGCAATGAGCTAATAATCCGGATTAGCGAAGAGTAAACACTGTTTCCTCCCGCCTCGTCTACAACTACTCGGCCGGTACAGCAGCCGATATTCCAGAGGGAATCGTCGGGACATTTTCGGAAGACCGGGGAGCCGGGAATGTACGTCAAATTCGTTGCCTATGTGGACATCTTGCGCTAACCAGGAGATACACCGTAGGAACTGGGGGATATGTCAGAGTTCGGAGAGAGCTGCATCTCAGCGACAAACAACCTGGCAAGGTGAATTATTGGACGTTGACTACACAACCCATACCTGATGAGGTGAGCACCAGAAAAACGAGATTGACTGCATTCCTAAACACAGAAGTTGTAGAGAGCAAAAACGAGGAGGGGTTATCTCATCTCGACCACAATTCGCAGTTTGGTCGGTCGACCACATCCATCTTACAGTAGAGGTCCCTGTTTAAGGCCGCAAATTTAAGGCCGGTGGCCCTGTTTAAGGCCGGTGAAATCGCCTGCCCCAAATGCCTTCCTTTTTAAGGCCGCACAGGACATAAAAAGGGGTGGTCCCTATTTAAGGCCTGTTGCAGCCTCCTCCCACCCTATTTAAGGCCGGTTTTGGGGTGACGCACGCAGGTTCGGCCGCATTATTTTCAAGCCACAACACAGCAGCTCTCGACATCTCCACACACACAACACACAACAGCCTATTGTAGCGTACCCCTATCGACCCAACCAGTAGGGGCATACATGCCTTGTGCGGCTGGTGAGCTGTACACCAGCCCATGGACATGGGGATCATCGCGGCCACCAAGGTGATCTACAGGAGGGAGCTACTCGACGTCAAGGTGTCAACCATGCTCGTGGCTGATGCACTGCGCGCCGAGGCCAAGAAGCGTAAGATGGTGGCTGGGACCAAGGGCTTGGCGGAGGGAAATCACCCCCACGTGCTGGACGCGGCAGATCTTCTCAAGACCGCCTGGGACAGCATCACCCCCAGGACGATCGCCAGGTATTGCTTCAAAATAGTTCAAGTGCTGTCCGTTTTTTCCGTCTTCAAGTTAGAACCCGGTGTTGCATTTTTTTAGTTGTGTGCCTTCGCAGGGCTTGCTGCTATTATGTACGTGTCGCTGTAGAAAATACGAAATAATTTGACATCGCTCGACAACTCGTTCGCCGCAATGTATCCTCGTTGCTGGTGCCCGACGCTCACAATCTCTACTGCGTTTGTATCGCTGCTCTTCCCGCGTCCCGTCCACCAGGTGCTTCGTGAAGGCCAAGACCCTCCCGGAAGAGATGGAGGCTGCGCTGACGACCGTGCACGGGAAACAGAGGCAAAGCAGCTCGGCGGGCTCTGCGGGAGGGCCAGTGCAGGGGCGTGCAGACAAGGAGCCGGTGGACCTTCTCGCGGAGACCCTCACCAGCATGAGCTCACGGGTGCGTGAAGCACAGGAGCGGTCCTGCGGTGTTGACACGGAATTGACAGAACTGTTGGCCACCCTGGGTATCACTGCCAGAGAGCCTGCCAATGCCGCCGCTGTGCGAGCGGCTGAAGTGTGGGCGACGGTGGAGGACCAGCCGGATGTGGTGGAAGCCATGCAGCAGGACGCGGTGGACGAGATGACGCAGCTGCTCGAGGGCAAGCTTCTCGCAGAGGAGAGCTCGGACGACGAAGCGACGGAGGAACCCACGGCTCGTATGGCACCACCGCCGTACGCGGCAGTGTCGTCGCACTTCGGGGCTCTGGAAACGGCAGCAGAGGAAAGCGGCAACCATGACGCCGCTTTCCATCTGCAGAAGGCCAAGATGGCGATGATCGCAGCACATACTTCGAAACCAGCGAGGCAGACGGACATGAGGCAATTTTTGTAAACTCGATACTTGTAGGCGCATGGGGGGGGGGCGTAAGTTGAGTGGCTTTCCCGGGTCCGGTATTGTAGATCAGTTTCAACAGCTGTCACGGCAGAGTCTTCTCTGCCAATTTGGTCGGTCGGTCGCCCTTGATCGTATGCAGGAACACTCTTGTTTTTTCAACCATCGTGTGCCGTTGCTATTGCATGCAGAAGATGTTTTTTTTTTTGTGTGTGTGTGTGCCGTCGTTGTTGGACGGGTAAATATTAACATGTGCAACATATGTAGATCGTTGTAGGTTTTTGTGGCGTATCTACGTCCTCTCAAACTGAGCAGCATCAGCACGTAAGCAGCACATTTGTCGACCCTTCGTGAGTAATTTTTTTCATTCTATGGTGTCCTTGCCGTCCGTACTTTCACGTCTTCAATTTTCACGTGACACTCTGCTTTTCTGTCGTTTAGGTTGGTTTTGTGACCTGGACCACGACATATATGTTGACCAGCTACAGTAATGTACAGTAGGGTAGTCACCAAGAGGGAGGCACTTGGTAATTTCTGTTGTTATTACAGATTGGCGGGTAATAACATTTGGAAACGTGCAAACATCATTTGACACGCTGTGTCGTCATTCAGTACATACATACGTAGCAGTGCCATGTGGTGCACATCCAACGCGGCGCTGTGGCACTGTGAGTGAGTGATATACACCCCTGCTGGCTTTCAGACATGTTTGAACCGGCCCGCTTCCCGCATAGCCTTGAGTGCGCTGCACTATTCCTCAACAAGGCCGGTACCGGCCTTATTGAGGAATTCATAATCCTGTATAAGGCCTGTACCGGCCTTAAACAAGGGCCGTTTCCAGTAAGGCCGGGTGCCCTGTTTAAGGCCGGTTTGTACCTTCCACACTATGCGGCCACCTCTACTGTATAGACTCTAGGCGGAAGCACGTGCAAGCAGCGCATGCCAAACACCTTGGAGGTCGTTGTTCAGCAGGTCAAGCCGCACTACGCGGCCCTCGAAGTTGACTTCGACTCCAAACCATGTTGATAGCGCAGCATCCGTGTCCCAGTTCTCTCTCTTCCTCCAGCTAGCCCCGCGCGCCGAACGAAACAGGGTAACCAGTCCGTCACGATCCGTCATCGAAGCCATTGCTCCGGGAACCTGCACGGAGTTTACCCGTAGGTAGATGCTTTTATTTCGGCGGCACGGTTGTTTTTCGGTGCCCCAAACACCCCGCCAACCCAACTACGAATCTGAGTGTACAACGCTGCAATGTTGCAATCACCACATACCGCTGTACCTATCAACATCATCACCAGCCATCACCAGATGAAACAGGTGATCACCAGGCAGCAGTGTGAGCAGAAAAATAAGCTCGTGATGTGTGGGAGATTGCCGGAGAATGCAACGAACGGTTCGCACGTTCCTGGTTCGCACCACCAACCCTGCTACATGTAGTCAAACCAGCCTCCCTGCTGCACTGCACGGCTGCACGGCGTTCAGCGGCTACGCTACACCCTCTAGCACGCAACTGCTGCGGATACCGCCGGAGATTAAGTGACCCCAACACGTTGCACATATGCCTTACGATGTAAGTTGTAGTCAGGCTCCCGCGCAGAGCTGTGGAGGTTGCAACATATCGTCCGTCTGTGCGACTGCCATATACCGTGTTCCCGTGCTATGCATACTACACGACTGCACGACACACCTGCTCGCTAACCCTAAGGCCAGATAGGCTCTTGCAGCCGTACTTCGAAAGACTGGCGATCTTTTTCAGTCAGCGCGGGAATGCGATCGGAAGCAAGATGTTGGACTTGACCGTATTTCTAAGGCAGATGGAGCTGGTGGCTGGTCTGGTCTGGTGGTCTCGATTTTGTTTTTCTTGCGCTTTCAGAACGGTGCCCAGAACGTTCTTGCACCCCCCGACCCCAAGGAAACGGTAGGAGGCTTTTTTTGCGGGACTGTGGGAACGTTCCGCCTCTTCGCACACTTTCACACCTCACACAGCCCTATTGCATACATTTTGTTATCGTGAGCGACGACATAGCAGGGCAGCACTCCGGCACAGTGTGCCTGGCGGAGGGTCTAGAGATCTAGATGATGAGTCGACCGAAACTTAGGCAGGCGCAGAGGCGGCACACCACCAGTAGAAGACTAAAGTACAACGGTGATTTGTACTCGGCGGAGCCGGCATACCAGCTCCAAGAAGACGAATGGATCAGAGTGAGCGGACGCAAACGCTTTGCGCTATCGACTACTATAGTAGAACCTTTTGTTTAGCACAGCAACATCGGTAAACATACTTGCACGACAAAGCAACTACATATAGTACAGTACGGCTCCAAGGAAGGGCACTCTTCGTCATCCACCACACAGACACATCGGGCATTCAACAAGGGCATCGACGAGTCGCGAGCGAAGTAAACCTGTACAACCCAACGCGTTATCCATCGACCACGGGGATTATTTCACGTGTTCCCTGGTGGTTGCGCAGAAGATGCCAGTTGCTAAATCGAGGCTCACATTTTCCAAAACAACCCCGCGAAGTCTACTGTAGATATGCAGGTTGTTGTGATTCAGATAGCGCCTGCATACAGTAGCGGCTACACGGTTTAAGAGAGGGTCGTGATGGTGACAAGCCCATCTTTCTCTCTTACATTGGGCTTTCTACAATACCGTGTTGGCTACGGTTTAAAAGAATATTCTCTTGAACCGTGAACATGTAGTTCTGAAGGCCGTGGAAGATTGACGATCTCATTTCAACCAGCGAAAGGAGTATGTTTGTGGACGACGTATCACTCATGCTACATCACGTCGTTAGATTGTGCTAGCTCCACACATGCTCAATCTGTGTCTTGGCCAGCAATGTACGCACCGCAAGTACCGGGTACACTCCTGATGATACCTGTGTGTGTAAATTAATCATGGCGTCGTGTGATCCAAGTATTCGCTGTACGTACATAATTCGTGGGTGATTTCATAAGTTCGGTGGGCCTCGTGCGAAGGTGTGCCGATTCTGGTAAAAGTCAATCGACGGATACCCTGCGAATCGGTTCCTCCTTAACACTGGCGTGTGATCGGGGACCACTGTGCAGTGGGTGCCTGCTGGGCTTGGTGTCTTTTCAGAGGTTCGATTTAAGAGAAATCTCAGAAATATGAGTATTTATCTCTTATATCGATTTTGGTCGTGACAAGCCAGTTTGACTCTCGGAAATCGGTACTTTCTCTTAAACATTTTCTCTTAAACCGTAGCCGCTACTGTATAGCAGTAGTAGCGCTTTGAGAGCTCCAGCGTCGCTCTGACCTGCATCACAGGTTGAAAAACCCACGTACAGGTTTACAGACGGCTTTGTTTGCACGCACGCGCACTGGCTTTAGCGTATGATCGTAGGACAGGACACGGTGTAGCTGAACTTCGTACGGTACAATTCGAGTACCGTCGCAGGTCGACCATGTCTCTCTTCGCTGTGTGACACTATTTGAGTACTGATCGCAGAACTTGCATTGAGCCCTTTTTTGGTTTCTGTGCCGGTGCTGTGGATGAACAATGCTCCCACGGAATGCAGTATCCGATATATATTGTATGCAATATCCGATATATATTGTATGACGTGACCTCCAGCAAAGAGTTGGTTGTTGGTACGTATGGATCCATACCTGCCTGACATGGACACAAGGCAGACACGTGACAATCCTACGCGCCTGGCGGTAGAATGCTGCAGTCTTCAGAACAGAAAACAGTCCGGCGGCGGGCAAGCGGGGGGGGAGGGGGACGGGGTAGAGGTTAGGAAGGCGGACGAAAAACGACAAGGTTTCGCAGTGGAAGAGTCGGCAGCCTGACGATGCATCAAAGGCCATGTATTATAGTTAAATTCAACGTGGTCCACACACGCGCCTAGCAAGTCAATTGACAGGTTGCGATGCTTGGTGTTCTGTCGCGTACAATTATTTGCGGTGTTTCGCAGAATGTATACCACGAGATCGCAGTCAAGCGCGTACTACACGTTCAGGAGCGATGATGAGGTGTGCACACAACTTCATTTCGAAACTCTAGCCGTTTGGTAGCTAGTGAAGTGTCGGTTTATACATTGCTTCTATCCTTGCGGTATGCCCTGCACCCCCCCCCCAACTTTTTCGGTCCCGAGTAGTATCCCCACAACTGGAGTAGGGAGTTAGTGTTGCAGGGACAATTGATCCTGGTCTCAAGGTGCGGGAGAATTTGCGTGTTTTCGCGCGAGCTGCGTAGCCGCCAAGAGTTACCGTCAAGTGCTGTTGTTGCTGTCGTCGTCGTCATCGTTGCTGCTGCTGCTGCTGCTGCTGCTGCCTTCGAGAAGAAAATCTCCATCAAGTTATCCTCCATGATACCCAAGGCAAAGCAATCACTTTCCGTGGACAAACCTTATCGGTGCATTCTGTGGAATGCCGACTGTAGATGTTCTGGCCGTTGACGTAAAGGGGGGGGGGGGTCAATGGTTTGGTGTTCAGGTCCTCTTGTTCACGTCCTCTTGTTCACGCCCTCTTGTTCACGGACCCATTTTTCGTTTTCCCTCTTCACCCTCCTTTCCCACGAATACACGTAGCAATTATTTTTCAGATTAGGTGTAACTGCGGTGGGTGCTCACAGATCGAGTTGGTCGCCTTTCGGAACGAAATCATGTTTGGTTTAGTTGCTGCACCCACTGCCATGTCATTCACGAAGAGGTGTTGGTTCGTGTCACCGCGGCCTCGGTCGATCGATGTCGATCGTACATGTAGCAATCGCACGCTCGATGCAACCGCTGCCTTGCTCTGTGATGACATGTCTGCCACTTCACGCTGCAACGAGTTAGTTTATACCAGGATGGACAGGGAGCATTTCACACACACACGCCCGTTTGGTTCCACCCGTTCAATTTCTGGAAGGAATCCTGTCCTGGGTATTCACACATTTCAGGAACGACAAGCAGCACACCGGGATTACACAGACAGAAGGATGGCTTCTTTTTCTGCGTTTCAACGTGAGGCCTCGGTTTTGACAGCGAGAGAGGTGCAGCAAGCCTTTCCCTCGTCGGTATTTTTGGATACAGTGAGTGCCAACCACTGGTTCACTTGCGGCTTAAGAAACTGGCAGTTGTGGCCATGAAAAAACTCCACATGTAAGCACGTTAGTTCTTACCCTTATGGAGAGCCGGCGCTCATCCAAGAATCAAGAATCCTGTATCAAAATCTCTTAAAGTAGGTGTTGGGTATTACGCCCCGCACAGATATTACGAAACGAACCCCGGGCCAAACACGGGTTCGACACTTTACGCACGAAAACTTGGAAAGACTTGGATGGGGATAACCTACTGTGCCATCAAATCAACAGTAGCGTACAGGCAGTAGATCAATAATGCGGGATACACTTCGCTCAGCTTCTTGTTTTTCTCGGCGGCGTCAACGTAGACTATGTATGAATATTATAAATAGTACCAATAGGATATCGTACATTTTGCACAGGTTCATACAGGACGAGACGCGTCAGCCAAGACCTTGCCTGTGACAGCGACAAAAAGAGAGACAGCGGAAAGAAGAACAACCAATAATGCTCTGCGGTTTCGCGACGCGACAGAAAAAACAGGTGCGCTTCTGAACGGCGGCAGAATATAACTACAACAGACAATTTTGTATCATCGTTGAACAACACCTAGAAGCCAATGTCAAGGATGCCATGACCATCTCAACCAGAGCGCCGCAGCTAGCTTGCCGAGAAAGAGACATCAGACAAGAGACCAGAGATGAAAACAAACAATCAATCAGTGAGGCATATCAATGCAACGCGCAAGGCAACGAGTTTACGTAAAGACACATGACGACGAGTGGTATATACCAAACACGAATGGATGGACATTTCTCCTCTCTGCGCTGCTGGTCCTCACAACAATACAGAGCGACCGGCAACAAGCTTGAGTGGGCACATAAAACACGCACATACCACCACCACCGCCTGCTTCGTAGGCAAATAGATATCGACGACACGATAATTCTTGATAGAGCCAAGAACGTCTACTAGTTACGGGTGTTAAGCTTTCGAAACAAGTAAACACATTTCCGGGCACCGGCCAATTGTAGTACAAAAAAAACACTCATCTCGTTGGTGGATAGATGTTCCGTGAGAAATTTCCAACGCCCTACAGGGCGTCGGCATCAAAACCACCTGCGGCCTTCGGTCGCCTTTGTTTCTCTCTGCATGCACGGGGATACGGTAATTCCATCCCCTCGGCGACCAGCCCGGGGAACGCAGGCCAACCTAACATACATGGAAAACTCCCAAATGCTCGAAACGCTGATAAAAAAGTATATAATCGACATCATCATCACCATCATCATCATCATCACACTCCAGGTTAAAAGTAAGCTCAGGCACGAAGCGTACTCGTTACGTTATGACTGCCGCAGTATCATTCTCAGCCCGAATGAACAATGAACGCCCCGAGTAAAGGCGACGCCAGGCAATATATTGCACAAAAATATACCGTGCAGACGCGCACGCCGCCGAAGTTCAGAGGAGCTCAAGATAAAAATCGGATTAGGCTCTTGGAAAAGCACGCTCCGCTCGCCGTTGATGGCGTCTCAAGCCAACTGGGTAGCACTGCGACAACCGCACCCCCTCCCCACCCCTGCCACAAACGACAGGGGACGCCTCTACTCTGTACCACACCATCCACCAGGCCTCTTTCTTCCGTCCCGTTTTATCTCATGGTCCCGTCCCGTATCATCTCTTCTCCATCCCATTCCTACTGGCAGCCGCGGTGTTAGTTCGTGGCTGCCGGTTCATCTCCCTCGCATCTAGCAGGCTTCTCCCACCCTCAGTAGCAGACGGAGAAAAACAAATGCTATAATAGACTACATCCCACGGCTTCAAAGAACAACGAAAACAAAGATAAAACCACCACCAGGATGCATGGTACACTTCTCTCCCCTGGGCTTGTTATGACCCACGGGATAAAACCTACTGTCACGATCGGTGGTACTGCCCTGGGTTCTTGGCATTTCATTGGAAATTGTAAAAGTACACTGGCTTTTTGCAGGTGTGAACAACAACAGCAAAAAAAAAAAAAAAGACCCAGAACAAGCTGTATGAATTAATCCAGCCTACAGTATAATTCCAAGGAAGCCACAAAAGAACATCATCTATG